GAAACCTGTTAAATTAAAAGCACACTTCAAAGTTAGCAGTCAGGCCGTACAGTGACTTAAAATAAAGGTTTTTTTTTTTGGCAACTGCTAGTAGGAAAAAACCGAATTTGTGTGGTGAATTCTGAACAGGGAGAATGCAGCTGGGATGGGGGGAAATGTTGACCCTCACAGGTGGAGCCTGGGAGTGAAGGATACACATAGTTTGTATTGTTAAAGATTTAATAAAGACATTTTTATTCAAAACTGCTATGGGGAAACAATTTGTGTTAATTCTGGCACTTCATTGGGAAAATACAGCCGGGGGATGGAGGGTGGGCCCTCACACACATCCCTGTGTTAAGGACACACATAAAAACTTAATAAAAGTAATTTTTTGGTAATTGCTGGCGAGAAACAATTTTTGTGGTGAGTTCTGGCGCTGCACAGCAAAAAAGCAGCCCAGAGCGTGAGGGAGATGTCAGCCCTCAGACACAAGCCCCTAGGTGAAGGACAAGCATAGCCTGTTCTGTTAAGGACTTGACAATAAACATCTTTTTGTTGGTAACTGCAACAGGGAAACAATTCGTGTGGCGAAACTCTAGCGCAGCACGGGGAAAACCCAACCGGGGCGGGGAGCGGCACCTCGGCCCTCACACACGAACCTCGGCGGGCCCCACGTTGAGGACACGCGTAGTGTGGGTTTTTAGGGAGTTCACAAAGATATCTAACTCGGTGAGCGCATAGTCTGTTTATTTACGGAGTTAACGAAGATATTTAACTCGGTGAGCGCACCTGTGTTAAGGACACACATAAAAACTTAATAAAAGTAATTTTTTGGTAATTGCTGGCGAGAAACAATTTTTTGTGGTGAGTTATGGCGCTGCACAGCAAAAAACCAGCCCAGAGCGTGAGGGAGATGTCAGCCCTCAGACACGAGCCCCTAGGTGAAGGACAAGCATAGCTTGTTCTGTTAAGGACTTGACAATAAACATCTTTTTGTTGGTAACTGCAACAGGGAAACAATTCGTGTGGCGAAACTCTAGCGCAGCACGGGGAAAACCCAACCGGGGCGGGGAGCGGCACCTCGGCCCTCACACACGAACCTCGGCGGGCCCCACGTTGAGGCCACGCGTAGTGTGGGTTTTTAGGGAGTTCACAAAGATATTTAACTCGGTGAGCGCACACTCTGTTTATTTACAGAGTTAACGAAGATATTTAACTCGGCGAGCGCACACTCTGTTTATTTACGGAGCTAACGAAGATATTTAACTCGGTGAGCGCTGTGTTCCAGCCCCCTCACGCCCCGGCTCTGAGGGCGCCGCAGCCCCGCCCTATCCGAATTCCCGGCCGCTGCGTCACCGCGCCGCGCGCGGCCCGGGCGGCGTCGTGCGTCACGGCCCCTCAGCCAATCAGCGGCCGCGGTCCTTCCGCGCTCCGCCAATCGGCGTCGGGCGGATGCTGGTGGGGGAAGGAGAAGGAGCGCGGAGCCAGCGAGGCGGCAGCGGCACAAAATGGCGGCGGCAGCGGCAGGCGGCGGCCCCGCGGGCCCTCAGGCGGCCGGCGCGGCTCCCGCTCCGGTACCGGGTCCCGGCGCGGTGCTCATCGGCGACCGGCTGTATTCGGGCGTGCTGATTACGCTGGAGAACTGCCTGCTGCCCGAGCACACGCTGCGCTTCACGCCGTCCATGAGCAGCGGCCTGGACCCCGACACCGAGACCGAGCTGCGCGTTACCGGCTGCGAGCTCATCCAGGCGGCCGGGATCCTGCTGCGGCTGCCTCAGGTGGGGCTGGGCGGGGAGGGGAGAGAGCCAGCACTCAGCTGGGCCCTTCTTTGTGCGGGCCTCGACGTCCCGGTTGGCGGGCGGGGCCGCCCCGCGGTTACCGGCCGGGCAGGCCGCGGGGCCGCCCGAAGGTCGGGGGTCGTTCGGGGTCGTTCGGGGTCGTTCCGGGGCCGCTCCGGCCTCGCCCGGCTGCCGGAAGCGGGTGATGTCAGCGCCTTCCTGCGCCGCCCCCGGCTGAGCATTGTGCAAAGGCGGATTTTCTTAAGGCTCTTTCAGAGCCGTGGTGACCTCGGGAAGGTTTCGGTTTCCCCGGAGAATTTAAAGGCCGAAGAGCCTCGTTGCTCTCTGAGCGTGAAACTTTCCAGGCAGCTTCTAGCTAGCGATGCTTAGCATATTCAAATGTATGCAAATCGTGACGCGATTAGATTGCTCCTCACTTTCCACGCCCAAAAAGCAAATATTTTTCTGACGTAGTTTCACAACTTTGAATTTTTTGGTTTTTTAGGTTTTTCTTGGGGCCGCGGGGCCGCCCGGTGCCCGGGGGTCGTTCGGGGTCGTTCGGGGTCGTTCCGGGGCCGCTCCGGCCTCGCCCGGCTGCCGGAAGCGGGTGATGTCAGCGCCTTCCTGCGCCGCCCCCGGCTGAGCATTGTGCAAAGGCGGATTTTCTTAAGGCTCTTTCAGAGCCGTGGTGACCTCGGGAAGGTTTCGGTTTCCCCGGAGAATTTAAAGGCCGAAGAGCCTCGTTGCTCTCTGAGCGTGAAACTTTCCAGGCAGTTTCTAGCTAGCGATGCTTAGCATATTCAAATGTATGCAAATCGTGACGCGATTAGATTGCTCCTCACTTTCCACGCCCAAAAAGCAAATATTTTTCTGACGTAGTTTCACAACTTTGAATTTTTGGGTTTTTTAGGTTTTTCTTGTTTTTTTTTTTATTATTAATTTAACAACTCAGAGCATATTTTCACGTTTTTTATAAAAGAAATTTGGGATTTGCTGTCTGTATTTGACTTGTAGGCACTATTTCAAGCGTTGATAACATTCTAGGCTATTTAATTACTTCAGCAATTCTAGTTTTCTTTAGATACCATGAAATTTCTCCCACGTTTAGTTAATCTAGGTCTTAAATCTGTTCAATTCTCTTTGCAATTGGTACTTTTGTTCATGGCTGTTGTGGTTATCTCTGCTTTTAGGTGGCCATGGCTACAGGACAGGTGTTATTCCAGCGTTTCTTTTATACCAAGTCTTTCGTGAAGCATTCCATGGAGGTAAGAAGGCATTAAATGACATTTGTTGCCATATTTATCTTCTGATCTCTCATGGCAAGCTGTTATCTGAGGTGTGATCAGTGTTAGGAGCTAGTCTGGAGTTTATAGTTGTAGAGAAATGTGATTTTACAAAGCCATTTAACAGTGATTTTTGTCAAATATTTGGTATTTTCTTGTTTCACCACATTTTTCCCCCCCTCATTATCCATCCTTACACTGTTGTAGGAGCTCAGTTCCTGAACTGGAAATAAAATGTAGAAAATATTCTGTTTTCTGCTTATTTTTCAGCATGTTTCCATGGCCTGTGTTCATCTGGCATCCAAAATTGAGGAAGCCCCCAGACGCATTCGGGACGTGATCAATGTGTTCCATCGCCTCAGACACCTGAGGGAGAAAAAGTAAGCTGAGAATTCAGAAGAATCTGGATCACCTGTGTTGTGTTGGAATTATTAAACTTCACAGCAGCATCATTCCCTTTCTCATAAATCAAAAAATATTTTGAAGGGATCTCGTGAAGTGACCTGACCTGTTTTAATAAATACTTTTTTTTTAAAGTTATAAATAATGATTTTTTAAAATTATTTTGAAACAACTCAGCCTGAGTGTCCTTAAGGTTTAAGATGATCATCTTGTCTTGCAGAAAACCTGTGCCTCTAATACTGGATCAAGAATATGTGAACTTGAAGAATCAAATAATTAAGGCAGAAAGAAGAGTGTTGAAGGAGTTGGGATTTTGTGTTCACGTGAAGCACCCTCATAAGGTTTGTACTTTCTAAATTCACTACATAACCAACGTTTCACGTCCTCTAAAGCTCTGAGGAGGCTGCCTGGACTGCACACGATGATCAGTGAACTCAGTGAGATTAGTTTCTTACCATCCTGATGTTTTCTTTCTCATTTAAGAGGCTCTTACTAATTGCTCTCGTATCACTGCTGAGTGACGGCGAGGCGGATGCGGGTGCTCAGTATTCCTGGAAGGCAGATTGGATCAGTAGGTAGCTGTGGTGGTAGAAAAAAAATCACCTCAACTTAGATTCCCCCCAAGCAGGGAGGAATTTGGAGGCCTGGTCACTCCTGGGAGCGTGCTGAGGTATTAAAGGTCTGTGAGCCAGTTTGGGGTTTGTTAAAACCACGCTCAGGCTTGGCTAGAACTGAGGCAAGGCTCAATATAAAAGTAACAAGTGTCAGAGTGGATGATGCTTGAAAGATACAATTGCCTCAGATGTTGAAATTGTGCCTTAACTGGTAAAAGAACTTGTATTTTTGTGCCAGCACGATTTGGGATCTTGTGTTTTCTCCTTTAAAAACCTCCTGTTCAGAGCTGCCTTTTTGAGTTTCTTGACATTCAGAATTTCCTTTTGTCACCCGCCCCAGGGGGGCAGCTGTACTTTGTTAATGGGGTGAATTCTGCCATTATTCTTCCCCTCTGCAGTCTTGTTTTCCTTCCAGACTTGAGGAAAAACCCTCAGAGCTGAACAAACCGTGGCACAGTGTTAGCTGTGTTCTCTGCAAGCACTGCCAACTTCCCTCACTGCTGATTGCACTCAGCAGCTTTTTCTCCCCAGGCTGCAGCTAAAAAAGGATTTGTGAGGTTTGTAGGAGAACAAAATCCATCCACAAAAATCCCTAAATGAAAATCCATCCACAAAAATCCCTAAATGAAAATCCATCCACAAAAATCCCTAAATCAAACCCAGGTGGAGACAAGGCCTGGCCGAGTAGCAGGACAGAAGGTCAGATAAACACTGGGGATGGTGCAAACACTTCATGTGGAGTGTTTTAGGCCTTGAAAGAGGATCACAGATGCCTGATGGATGGATGTCCCTCTGAAATAAGCAGGTGGCTCTCCAGATGCTTGTTAATAACTCAATGACCCATATCTTCCAGATAATCGTTATGTACCTTCAGGTATTAGAATGTGAACGTAACCAACACCTGGTCCAGACCTCATGGTAAGTTGATTTTCTTTGTTCTAAGAGACCAGAAGGGGCAGTAGCAGAAATATGTCACTTGAGGCACTGGGCAGCATTGCTCAGCAGTGCTTGGGGCCACCCCAGACAGCTCCACTGTCCTTGGTGTGCCCCAAACTCCTTCCCAAATGTTGAGCGGCCTCTTAAGTTCGAGGCAGTGTTTTAATGGTAAGGTAGCTTTCCACCCTGACTTCTCACTTCTCTCTGCTCTCACTTTCCAGCTGAAGGGAAAAGGTTTGGGGGGGTTAGAGTTGTTCCCTTGGGGTCTTCTTAAAGGAAAACTTGGGGGTAATTCAAGTGTGTTGCCAGGGCCTGAGTTTGATTTCAGGTGTATCTAAACCTCAGCACAGATCAATTTCTTTTATCTATGTGGAAATGCAAGATGTGAGCTTCTGAGACTGGATAGATGGATAGCCTGGATTCATATTTGCCAAGAAATGTTCTCTGCCTTATTGCTCTCATTTAATAAATATTTGCTCGGGGGTGGGAAGCTTCTGTAAAATTCCACATCTTAAACTTTATACCAAACAATGCTTTTTATAAACCACAATGCTTTTTTTAACAATACCAATGGTCTTAAAAAAAAAAAAAAAAAAAAAAAAAAACCACCTTTAGTGAATCCAAAGACCATATTTCTGCTGACTGAACTGTCTGGTACTGTGAGCTGTGTGTAGAGAACCAGTTTTGACTTTTCTTTTCTGTACTCTTTTGATCAAAGGGTAGCCTCTGAGGGTAAGTGACTAAGACTTCTCCTCTGCTGCCCATGGTGCAGGGATAGCTGCCGTCTTCAGTCAACCCAAAGCTCTCCAAAGAGAAGGCTGGCTCTAGACAGGTGGTATATACATGATAGTAGAGTAACTGGCCAACTGCTTCTTGTGCTTATATTTTTTATTTTTTTATTTTTTTTACTCTGCATTTTTTCATTGTTTGTATATTTGATAACCTGAGCGTTGAATTTTTGAGATTTTATTTTTGTTTTCTGATGTTCTATTTCTCTTAACTGTCATAATGTGGTGTGTTTCTTATAGGATAAAGTGAATTGAGGTGGGGTTTAAATCTTTAAAAGGGATGAGTTAACAACAAAAAAAAATGAGTAGTTTGAAAGCTACAATTACCTCGAATGTTTAAGTGAAAAAACTAGTACATGTGTGAAGCTTGGAGACAAAATGTGATATTTAGAGACACTTCCCAGAAGCATTGCATGGAGCAGTGGAATGGGAGTTCTGGACTGCCAGGAAAAAGCTGGTTATGGAAGGAAGGGAGGGAGGGGCAGGGAGGGAATCACCCCAGCTGGGAAAGGGGTCAGAGGTTACAATAACACATCTGTGTGCTGTGCTTGTTGCTTCCAGTACCCAAAAACTGGTGGGTATCCAGTATCCTTGGTTTTTGAAATGTGCATTTTTACAACATTACCTTTTTCTTAAGCTATTGTGACAAGGATTCATCTCCTCCTGTGTCTGACTGAGCCCACAGGGAAGATGTGCAAGAGGCCAAACTTGGAAGCTGCCATGGTTCTCAATTTGGCAAATCAGAAAAAAAACCTTTGTAGCTTCCAGGTGTTCAAAGTCATCCTTTCCTTTATCACTCCTTTGGCCAAAAGGTTTGTGCTCCCTTTGTAGAGGGACACAACAGCAGGTTTAGAAGTTCCTTTCTCCCAGAAAGATGAGCTGGTGGTCAGTGTTGCTTTTTTTGGGGCAGCAGTTGCTGTTTGTGTAAACAAGAGCTGAGGACAGCTGGGCCAGGTGGGAGTTGGAAACTCCTGGGATTCCAATCCCTCCTCTCTGTCCTTGGGAACCTTGCAGGTGCCTGGCCTGTGGTCTCTGCTTTGGATGTCTTGGGGGTCAGTGAATCCTTGTATACTGGGTACCCACGTGGTTAATTATTACCTTATTAAGGACTGCTATTATGTCTGGTTTTAGTTTTTCTCATCTGATATTTTACTGACGTATGTGCTCTCAAGTCTAGATCTTCTAAAGCACATCAGCTGACAGATTCACAGGAATTTACTTTGTGTATTTAAGATTTAACAACATAATGCTTCATTGTACTGACTGGAATATGTGCAATATTTTACAGTTTTCTCATTCTGTGAATATTCATTTTAAGCAACCTTACTGAAATGGGACAATTTGGAAACCTTATTTCATGTGCCAAAGAGGAGATCTGCCTGAATACTGACTGTTCTCCTGAACTGATGTTCCCAAACACCCTGATTTCTCCTATGGCTGACTTTTTGCATCAAAAAGAATTCTGTTCTGGATGGAAATGGACCCTTAAACCCCACTGGAAGCTGACCTGTGCTGAAGAGGACTGCATTTCATGGGAGAACTGCTCCAGGAGCTGCAGCTTTTGCCAGACACCTGGTTCTGCCCTATTGCAGGGGGACATGTGAACCTAAAATTCTATAACTTGAGTATTTCTGAGCACACTGTATGTTGTCTTGATGAAAAGAACTTGTTTATTGCATGAGAGCAGGCCAGTAGAGATCCAGCAGCAAAAGTGAAGTTAAAATTGGTTCTCTTCTCACCACTGAATTTTCAGCAGTCAGACTTTGTTTCTGTCACACGTCCCTCCCCTTGAGGGATTTAATTTAGTTATCTCTTTTATTTTTCTTTTAGTAAAATCATTCAGCTTCTCTTTAGATTTACAGGACTATAATGTTGAAGTCTAGTAACTGAATGCAGAAAGAAATAGCCCTTGTAGAAGTAAAACCAAGTCAAAAACCCAAAAAAAGACCCCCAAAGAGCTTTGCAGTGCCTTGCAACCTCCTGCTCTCCTGTTTTTCAGGAACTACATGAACGACAGCCTGAGAACAGATGTCTTTGTGAGGTTCCAGCCAGAAAGTATTGCCTGTGCCTGCATTTACCTGGCAGCCAGGACACTGGAGGTGAGCCACACTGCCCTGGATTTGGGGTTTTTTCAAGGCCTTTTAACAGGAGGAGAAATCTGAGCTTTGTCTCTGTCTCCCTTTCAGATCCCACTTCCAAATCGCCCACATTGGTTTTTACTGTTCGGAGCAACCGAGGAAGAAATTCAAGAAATCTGCTTAAAAATCTTGCAGCTCTACACAAGGAAAAAGGTTTGGTTCTTTTTTTATGTTGGGAGCCCTCAGTGAAGGCTGCAGCTCAGAGCAGGAGTTGGAAAATTTGAGCCTTTTTGAAACCACAGCTGCAAGCCTGGAAGTGAACAAAGAGCAGCCAATGTCTGGGACTCCTTGGATTTTCATTCCCCTCCCTGGGAGTGGGTAGCCAGGAAATTCAGCTCTCACAAGTGCTCCTGTGTTCACAGGTGGATTTATCTGATCTGGAAAGTAAAATAGAAAAGAAGAAGTTGGCTATTGAAGAGGCAAAAGCACAAGCTAAAGGTCTGGTACCTGAGGGAGTTCCAAGCTTGGATAACACATCGGGATTTTCCCCCATCCCAAAAAATGGTAAATAACTTTTTCACGTCTTTGATGGATATTTACCCTTTTGGGAAGCATTTGCAAGTGTGGTTTAGAGTTTGTTGGGGATTTTTTTTAAGATGGCTTCTAGCACTACTCAACTGGCAGGGTTTGAATAGCATTGTAACTTTGTGATTTCTTGAGTCAGATAAAAGCTAAAATCAAATTAGTCTGAAATTAAGACTAGTTTAAACCCATATAGACCCAGGGAGTTTCTTTTATGTGGATTTGGTAATAAAGTCAAGTCCTTGCCACTGGCATGTTGTGCTGAAGCAATATTGAAGCAGAGGTGCTCTGGCAGGGGTAACATTTTGAGATGTTGGGTGAGGAATTTGTTGGTTAAAGTTTCCAGTCTGGTGCAGTCTCACCCAGAAGACACATTGATCTTCTTCCCCAGTTTGCCTTTCAAACAATGCTGAATAATGGGCAAGGAAAGGAGGTGATTTTCTGCCCTTTTTTTTGCAGTTACTTCAATATTTGGCAGAAATGTTTCAGATGAATTTCTGCCTGCTGTGAACTTGTTCAGATCTGTGTTTGCACACACTCGGGGTGAGAGGAGCCTCAAATCCTTTCAGGTACTTGCCAAAGAGGTAACAAAGGTTTCTTCTTGCAGAGTCTCCAAAAGAGGTTAAGGGAAATAAACCTTCACCCCTACCTGTGCAGGCCATGAAGAATGCCAAAAGGAAAACAGAGGGAGCCAAGAGAACCAGCTCCAACAGCCCAGTAAACGGGTAAGGTTTTACCAGGAAGCAGCTGATTTTCTCTCACGAGGGATTAAAACAAAATAACTGAGTGTTCTTGGTCTCTGGCAGTGTCCAGAAAGGAAGAGAGAGCAGGAGTCGAAGTGGAAGCAGAGATCAGAGTTACTCAAGGTCACCATCGAGGTCTGCATCCCCTAAGCACAGGTAGGTGAGCTCCCAGTGCCTCCCAGTCCCTCCCAGTGCCTCCCAGTCCCTCCCAGTGCCAGCTTTGATGGCTCCTCACCAGGAGGCTCAGGGCACCCGGCAGCATGAGCTGCTCCTTGACTCCTGACTGAGTCCAGCTTGGGTGGTTGCAGTATTGCTGTAGCTCCTGGAAATCAGGATTTTTACTGTAGCCAGGTGGAAGTTCAGGACACCAGATGAGTTCTCCTGGGAGAACAGCAAAATGCAGGAGGGAGGTCTTAAAATTCAAAATGTGAAGGGCAGTCTTAAAATTCAAAATGCAGGAGGGAGGTCTTAAAATTCAAAATGTGAAGGGCAGTCTTAAAATTCAAAATGCAGGAGGGAGGTCTTAACATTCAAAATACAGCAGGAAGGTCTTAACATTCAAAATGCAGGAGGGAGGTCTTAAAATTGAAAATACTGAAAGGTGGTCTTAAAATTCCAAGTACAGAAGGACATTCTTAAAATTCCAAATATAGAAGAATGTTCTTAAAATTCCAAATACAGAAGGACATTCTTAAAATTCAAAATAGAGCAGGATGCTCTTCAAATTCAAGGAAACGGCAAAATATGGAAGGATGTTCTTCAGATTCAAAATGAGGAAGAATGTTCTTCATATGCAGAATGAGGAAGGACCTTCTCAAATTCAAAATGAGGAAGTAAGGTCTTAAAATCCAAGAAAGCATCAAAATCCAGAATTAAGTTCTTCAAATACAAGGAGACTGCAGAATATGGAAGGACCTTCTTCAAATTCAAAATGAGGAAGTAAGGTCTTAAAATCCAAGAAAGCATCAAAATCCAGAATTAAGTTCTTCAAATACAAGGAGACTGCAAAATATGGAGGGACCTTCTTCAAATTCAGAATATGGATGGACCTTCTTCAAATTCAGAATATGGAAGGACCTTCTTCAAATTCAGAATATGGAAGGACCTTCTTCAAATTCAGAATATGGAAGGACCTTCTTCAAATTGAAAATATGGAAGGACCTTCAAATTCAGAATATGGAAGGGCCTTCTTCAAATTCAGAATGTGGAAGGACCTTCTTCAAATATGGAAGGATCTTCTTCAAATTCAGAATACGGAAGGACCTTCTTCAAATTCATAATGAGGAATGTCTTAAAATCCAAGAAAGCCTCAAAAACCCAGAAGGAGGTCCTTCAAACTCAAGAGAACCACGTCTGCTGTGTTTTTCCCGCAGGAAGAGCGAGAGCTACTCCACGTCCAGCGGCTCCAAGTCGCAGAGCCGCTCGCGGAGCCGCAGCGATTCCCCTCCGAGGCAGTTCAACCACGGCTCCGCCTACAAGGGCTCCAAGGCGCGCGGCTACAAGAAATCCAAGGACTACAAATACTCGGCGGCTCGCAAGGCGCGCAAGTCGCGCTCGCGCAGCTCGTCCCGCTCGCGCAGCCGCTCCCGCGAGCGCTCCGAGCACTCGGGCAAGTACAAGAAGAAGAGCCACTACTACCGCAACCACCGGCACGAGCGCGCCCGCTCCTACGAGCGCGCCGGGCACCGCTACGAGAGGGAGAGGGAGAGAGAGCACCCCGGGCACAGCCGGCACCGCCGGTGAGCCCGGGCTGCTCTGGGGGCTCCTGCTGGGGCTGCTCCTGGGGGGAGCTCTTCCTGGGCTACTTCCCAATGGAGTTCCGGCTGGTGAGCCCCAGGGCTGCTCTGGGGGTTCCTGCTGGGGCTTCTCCTGAGGGGGTTCCTGCTGAGGTTCCTGCCAGGGCTGCTCCCCGAGGGGGCTCCTGCTGGGGGCTGCTCCTGGGGGGAGCCCTTCCTGGGCTGATTCCTGAGGGGGCTCCTGCTGGAGCTGCTCCCTGAGGGGGCTCCTGCTGGGGGCTGCTCCTGGGGGGAGCCCTTCCTGGGCTGATTCCCAAGGGGGCTCCTGCCGGGGCTGCTCCCCGAGGGGGCTCCTGCTGGGGCTGCTCCTGGGGGGAGCCCTTCCTGGGCTGATTCCCGAGGGGGCTCCTGCTGGGGCTTCTCCTGAGGGGGTTCCTGCTGGGTCTGCTCCCCGAGGGGGTCCGTCCTGCTGGTGAGCTGGGGCTGCTCTGGGGGGTTCCTGCTGGGGCTGCTTCCCAAGGGGGGTCCTGCTGGTGAGCCCTGGGGCTGCTCTGGTGGGGGTTCCTGCTGGGGCTGCTTCCCAAGGGAATTCCTGTTGGTAAGCCCTTCGGGGCTGCTTCCCGAGGGGATTCCTGCTGGGGCTGCTTCCCAAGGGGGTTCCTGCTGGTGAGTCCTTCCTGGGCTGCTCCTGGCGGGATTCCTGCTGGTGAGCCCTGCTGGGGCTGCTTCTTGGGGGGATTCCTGCTGGTGAGCCCTGCCTGAGTTGCTCCTGGGGGAATTCCTGCCCAGGGCTGCTTCCCAAAGGAATTCCTGCTGGTGAGCCCACCAGGTTGCTTCCTGGTGAGCCAGGGCTGCTTCCTGGAATTCCCAGAGGGAATGCCCTCTGGTGAGGTGGAGTGGTTCCTGAGGGAATTCTCTCTGGCACCCCAGGCACAGAGCTGGGGTCTGCTTCCCCAGCGAATGCCCACCTGGGCTGCTTCCTGAGGGATTTCTATCCAGCAGCTGGGCACAGTTGGTGAGATGGGGCTGCTTCCCTTGGGAATTCCCTCTGGCACCACTGGTGAGCCAGGGCTGCCTCTCTCTGCCAGCAGAGCTCCTTCCCCGTGGCTTGTGCAGGGTTAATCTGGCTAGTGAACCAGCCCTGGCCTGAGCCAGCAGTTTGTGCCCATCCCTGAATCCAAAGGAAATGCTGCCAGGGCGGGCAGTGATGCCAGGAGTGCCCTGTGCTGGGCTGTCACTGTCACCTCCCACTGGAGCTCCCGTCCTGCTCCTCAGGATTCCCAGTGCAGTGTTGGGAATTTGGGAATTGCAGCCCTGCGGGCAGCAGCTCCGTGGCCCATCCTTGGATGCTGTGCCCAGCAGTTCTTCCCCGTGGAACTGGAAAGCTCCTCAGCCCCCCAGGAGTGGTTTGGTGCTAACAATGCCCTCTGTTCATGCTGGCTCGGTGATGTTGTACAGGTGGGAGGTGACTTTTTTTAGACCTGTTGCCTATATTAGGTTCTCTGTGTATATATATTTTGCAGTGTTACAGTACAGTATGGGAAAAATGGCCTTCCTAGCCTTTACACTTTACCCACAATGTAAATAAGCATTTGTTTAATACAGGTGAAGATATATACAGCAAATTCAAAACTTGAATTCTATCAAAAAAAAAAAAACTTGTGTAGAAAATTCTGATAAATGTGAAAGTATTTAGCTCTGTGCATTGAGAGTAGTATATTTTTATCTGTGCAATGCTGTGTGCAGGCCACCAGCTCAGAAGACATTTCCTATATATCCCTTTGAAGTGGTTGAAAATTCTTTACTCAGGATCTTTGACACTCTGAAGAATTCGTAGTTTGTCAGTCTGCATGCTTGATGAACAGAGCATTTAAAAGCCAATTAGCAGAGCCCCACAGCCCAGCAGTATCAGTTCTAGTGGTATATCTGAGCTGTTACTCTCATGCTCCCTAATTTCATTAAAGTATTTGATTTTCTATTACATTCACTTGAGTTTCTTATGAGCTACACCACTTGTGCCTACTCATAAGGAAAGAAATTGGTGCAAAACGAAGAGATTTTTAAACTGTAGTAGTTTCAAGACTTGGAATTCAATCCCCATTTCCTTAAAGACAAGAATTTTGGGCACCAAACATAAAAATCCCCCAATCCACAAAGATTTGAGGTGGAAAGTGTGTTTTCTGTGACTTGAGGAGCAGCTGGCAGGTCCCAGCTGAGTTTCCTGAGCTGTGTTTGCTCTGGGCCTCCTCACCTGGACAAGGAGGAAGAGCTGGGCTTGATCTCTGGGGAGAATCCCATCCCGTGGGCTTTGTGCCACTTCTTGGGGGCTGAAAATGTTGGGGTGGCTGAACATCTGCTGGGTTTGCTGGAACATTGGGGGCTGAACATCTGTAGGGGGTTTGATGGGACATTTAGGGATGAAAATGTTGGGGTGGCTGAACATCTGCTGGGTTTGCTGGAACATTGGGGGCTGAACATCTGTAGGGGGTTTGATGGGACATTTAGGGATGAAAATGTTGGGGTGGCTGAACATCTCCTGGGTTTGCTGGGACACTAAGGGATGGCAAATTTGGGGTGGCTGAACATCTGTGTTTGCTGGGACAGTGGGAGGTGAAAGTGTTGGGGTGACAACATCTGTGGTGGGTTTACTGGGACACTGGGGGCTGAACATCTCCTGGGTTTGCTGGGACACTGAGGGATGGCAAATTTGGGGTGGCTGAACATCTCTGCTGGTTTTGCTGGGACATTGGGGTCTGAACATCTGTAGGGGGTTTGCTGGGACATTTAGGGGTGACAGTTTTGGGGTGGCTGAATGTCTGTGGTGGTTTTGCTGGGACATTGAGGGGTGAAAATGTTGGGGTGGCTGCACATCGCTGGTGGGTTTATTGGGACATTGGGAGGTGAAAGTGTTGGGGTGACAACATCTGTGGTGGGTTTACTGGGATGCTGGGGGCTGAACATCTGTGCTGAGTTTGCTGAGACATTGAGGAGTGAAAATGTTGGGGTGGCTGAACATCTGCTGGGTTTGCTGGGACACTGAGGAGTGACAGTTTTGGGGTGGCTGAACATCTCTGCTGGTTTTGGTGGGACATTGGGGGCTGAACAGCTATAGGGGGTTTGATGGGACATTTAGGGGTGACAGTTTTGGGGTGGCTGAACATCTTTGGTGGGTTTGCTGGGACAGTGGGGGCTAAACATCTGGGTTTGCTGGGACATTTAGGGGTGACAGTTTTGGGGTGGCTGAATGTCTGTGGTGGCTTTGCTGGCACATTGAGGAGTCAGTGCTGCTGCTGAGCAGGGCAGGGTCCCGTGGCTGGAGCTGGCAGAAGTTCACCTGAAACAAAAAGCCCCAGGTGCACGTGTGTGTGTAAACAGCTCTCAGCCCTTCAGGTGAGTTATGGCTTTGTTTTCTGCACCTCTGGTGACTCCTCCGTGGCTCTCGGTGAGCAGAACCTCCCTCAGGGTGGTCTCTGATCTGTTCCTGGTGTTCACCTGCAATTCCTTCTGCCCTGGGATGTTCTCTTTGAAGGGGCAGCACTGAAACCTGACTGGCAGCAGGCATACAGCCTTGGCCAGGTGCTGATGCACATTCCTCAGATAAATCCTCTTACCTACTCTGGCCACCCACCCCATCCTTGCTGGGAAATAATCCTTCATGTTTTCCCAGAAATGGCTCACCCAGCAGTAAATTCACCGTGTCACAGCTGCAGATGTGTCACCAAAGCTTTCCCAGGTGAGAGCCCGGAGGATTCTTTCCCAGAGGTTGCCAAGCCCAGCTGTGCCAACATCCCGAGCACAAAGAGGTCACTAAGGAGTTTTGGGATTTTTAAAAAAAAAAAAATTTTCCAACCCCACCAGAGTGGTGGTAATGCACAAAGGAAGGAAATTGTTCTGAAATGAGGGAAGGAAGGTGATGGATTAAATTAAAACACCTGGGCAAGAGGAGTGTTGCTGTTTGTGAGACAGAAGTTGCTGGAATGGAGCTTTATTTGGAAGAAAAGACAAAACCAGGTATCAGTCTCCAGGGCAGCCTTGCTGCTGGCTGCCTGCCACAGCTGCTGTGTGCTCAGGGCTGAGCTTTTCCAAAACCCAGCCTGAGAGAGCAGGAGTCCAGGATTGCAGAAGCCCCTGCTCAGCTCTGCTCACAGCCAACACTGAGGCAGGAGAAATGTCTGGAAGGATTTTGTCATCCTCATCTCCCCTGGGAATGTGATGTAACATCAAACCTGAGCTATGCAGCAGCAATACTTTAATATAAATAAGTCCTGTACATTTTTGGAGCTGTTACAGGTATTTAGAATTAAACCAACAAAAGGGAAATGAGGCAGACACTGCAGCTGTTTGAGGCTTTTCCACAGAATTTTTCCAAATTACCAAATCTTTGTTCTTCAGTTTCCCAAGTCCAAGGGCTGAGTCTATCCTTGACCTCTAAAGGATGAAAATGTTTTGAAAGTGTAGTGATCTTTAAGAAAGCAAAGAGCAATATTATGCTCACAGGTGTAATAGAGCCTTTAAACCCCCATTACCAGTTTCTGCATGAGTGTGCAGATCAGTAGCAAACGGGTTATTTATTGATCTGGGAAGGCACGGGGCTGAGGATGAGCTACGGGCAGGATCCTGTGGTGATTTCCAGGACCGGGTCACCCACAGCGAGGACGGGACAGAAATGTGGTGCCTGGCACACCCTGAAAAGCCTCGGCAGGAAGGTGGGGAGTTCAGAAAGGGGGATTCATTCCTTCCTCTGCTTCATCCCCCGTTCAAGAGCTGAATCCTCTCCTGCTCGCTCCTGGCTGCCGGGGGGAGCGAGTCCACCCTTGTCCCGTTCTGTGGGGCCGACAGTGAGGGTCAGAGGGCTCAGGGGCTGCTCTGCGGCCACCGCTGTCACAGGCAGAGCTCTGGAACTGGTGGAACAGGATTTGGAACCAGCCGGGAGCGGGATGGGCTCGGGCCGTTGTGGGAGGGGGAAGAACCAATTCCCCTTCCCCTGGGGGCTCACCCTGCCCCGGAGCCGGGAGGGGACAGAGCCAATTCCCCTTCCCTGACCGTTCTCTCCGTGCCCCGGAGCCGGGAGGGGACAGAGCCAATTCCCCTTCCCCGTGCGCTCCCTTCGTGCCCCGGAGCCGGGTGGGGGAAAAGAGAATTCCCCTTCCCCGGGCTCTCTCTCCGTGCCCCGGAGCCGGGAGGGGACAGAGCCAATTCCCCTTCCCCTGGGCGCTCTCTCCGTGCCCCGGAGCCGGGTGGGGGAAAAGAGAATTCCCCTTCCCCGGGCTCTCTCTCCGTGCCCCG